CCCAGCCAGTGTCTCTCACCGGCACCCGTGCCCCCAAGCTTTACTGAGCACCAGGACCCCTGCAGGACTCGAGACCCAGAGTTTCCGATTTAACCGATCTCTGCCGGGGTCTCTGCTGCCGCTGCTGGTGGGGGCTTGTGCTCGGAGAACCATGGCCCTGGACGGTTCCTGTGCCCGGGCCCTGCTCAGGCCTGCACATGGCGGCCACATGCCCAGGTTTCCCTCCACGAGAATCTCACCTCTGGCTCTGCCTGTGCATGGGTTTACATGGGGAGGTCTGGGCTGGAGGCAGCCCTGAGAGCAGAGAATGCCCACCCTCTCCGTTTCCCCAGGAAGCCTGAGGCAGGGGGAGCCTCTGACCAACACCGACACCCCCTGTGCCGGCGGTGGGGCCAGGGGCTTAGCCCTGACGTGGGCAAATGGAGGAGCTGGAGTGTGTGAGTGCGGCTGGGGGTGGGGCAAGGCGAGCTGCTGCCCTGACAGGCCACGCCAAAGGGAGGACAGGCCCGGCCCACGGGGCGCCCTGGAAACACCCCGAGGGTCTGGGGACCACGGCACGGTCACTGGCCAGACGGAGCCGAGCCCGTCGGCGGGACCAGGGGCCACCCAAACAGCAGAGGTTGGAGCACCTGGTCCCGCCGGCCCTGGGTCCGTTCTGGGAGCTGCTGGCAGCCATTCCCCAGGAGTGTCTGAGAGCACCACACAGGGAGACGGGAGTGAGTCTGCCGGACCCGCACAGCACCGTTCAGTTTGCAGCTGGAGGAGCAGAGAAGGAACGAGGTGGCCGAGGAGTCACCGAGGCTTCTCGTCCCTTCGTAAGCAGAGCTGTGTCTCTCCTCCCAGCACTAAGCGTGGCTTTTTAGCTGGACATCTGCTTGGCTTTTGCCCATCTCTCCACAGACCATCAGCCCCGAGAGGGCGGGGCCAGGTCTGTCTGGCCCGTCACGCTAGGCCAGCACCTAGCAGGGCCCGCCACAGAGGAGCCCTCAGAAAGTGCGTGCTGAATGAATGAATGAACGGATGGATGGATGGACTGATGGATGGACGGATGGTGATGGACCACACGGTCCCAAAACCAAGGACAACACCAAGGAGATGAACAGATGGGGAGAGAGTATGTGATCAAAAATGTGGTTTAGGGACCGGAGGGCTCGTTAGGGTGGAGCAGTGAGGGGTGCCTGGAAAGGGAGGCCGGAGGGATGGATCCTTCCGCTGAAGACCTGCAGGGAGAGCAGGTCCAGGCACAGGCTGTGGCCGCCATGGCAACGGGAGATCAAGGGCGCCGATGGTGAAGGCTGATGGACAGGTTGTCAAGAACGGAAGCTGGGGTGACGAGGGTGGCAGCACGGGGGCACAGTAATCCCGGGGGCACGGCAGGACTGCGGACGGATGGGGTGGGAAAGGCTGGGAACTCGGAGGGGATGACGATAGGGTGGGCTGGGCTGGGGGGAGGGAAAAGGGCAGGAGCCTGTAAGGGCTTACAAGGGGAGTATCTGGGCTGGAAGCAGCCCTGAGAGCAGAGAATGCCCACCCTCTCTGAACCTGCGGGGCATGGGGGCAGGTGTTCAGCTGCTACTGAGGGGGACCAGGGGCCACAGGACCCCGAGAGCCTGGCCTCAGCCTGGGCGGGGGTCACGGACCTGCAGGAGGAGGCTGAGGGGGAAGCAGGACCTGGGCCACACAGACGGACAGGGAAAAAGGGAGAGCCTGTGAGAGCCAGGGAAGCCGGGAAGGGAAGCCAGAGGAAGGAAGGGGAGGCTGGGGCGTGCAGGAGAGACTGGGCCCACAGACCTCCGCTCAGCCCCCAGATGCCGTGAGAGGCCCCTCCCAAGGGACGCAGGAACGACAAGGAGGAGAAAAGCTCCAAACTTGCATGTGTGGTTGCAAAATTGTGTATTTAAAAACTAAGTAAATGAACATCTCTTTAACCCCAAATAGAAAAAGATTGGAAGGAAATATAGAAAACCATCACCTTGGTTGTTTCTGGGTAAAAGAACACCTTCAGTAACTTTGTGGGTTTTTGGTGGTTTTTTTTTTCAAATCTTCTGTCCCTGGTGCTGGGGCAAAGTTGGTGCTCAGTTAACATGTGGTGGATGAGCCGAAACCGGTTTGGCTCAATGGATAGAGCATCGGCTTGGGGACTGTAAGGTCCCAGGTTCGATTCCGGTCAAGGGCATGTACCTTAGTTGCGGGCATATCCCCAGGGGCAGCTGATTGATGACTCTCTCTCATCGATGTTTCTAACTCTCTATCTCTCTCCCTTCCTCTCTGTACAAAATCAATAAAAATATATTTTTTTAAAAAAACACAAACATATTTAACATGTGGTGGATGAGCTGCTCATACAACTGGGCAGGGTGGCATGGAAACATTTAGTGGAACACGGTCTGCACCCACCCTCAGCCCTCAGGGACGGCTCTTACCGGCACTGCCCTCACTGCGGCTCCCTATGGCCGGCACAGCGCCTCCTGGGCCCGGGCGCCCCCCGGCTTAGGGCAGGGACTGGGCCTGCCCTCATGCCCGGGGCTTTGCCAGGCTCTGGGGAAGGGGATGGTACATGCTGCACCCCACTGTCACATCCTGACGTGTGGTCCCCCCGAAGCCCATGCCCCGGCCCCAAGGAACACACAGTCAAGGTTGGGAGGACATAATGCCCCCTCACGGGACCCCATGTGGGGAGGCTGGCTGCCAGGAGTTGTCCCTCAGAACAGAGAAATAGGTGAGAGCACAGAGGGGGGACAGGGAGGGGGCTGAACGCATGCAAACTGCCCCTTAAGCCATGGGCTTGACCTCCCCCATTCTTCTCTCCCCTCCCCTCCCTCCTTCCCCCTCCCCACACACAGGTCCTTTAATTATCCCACAACCCTGAGGACTGGAAAGGTCAGATTTACACTGAGGCCAAGAGAAGGAACCCAACCGGCCCAAGGTCACATGACTAGCAAGGGACCCGTCAGAGTGAAACCCAGGCCTGGCTGGCTATCGAGCATTGTGCCTCAGGGTTCATTGAGGTAACGGCCTAGCGCCCTGGAGAAGGGGTCAGCCCCCATCGGAGGCTCAGCGTCCCCAACGGAGGCGGGTGGGGGAAGCACAGGTGCAGGTCAGGCAGACCGGCCGCCCCACTATTCCGTGGAGAACACAGGGCGGGGTGGGGAGGCCCTGCAGGGCCACAGGCCCCGGGGTGAGGGGTGACAACAAACAGGGCCCGTCAGCAGGGACCGGAGGGAGGGAAGGCGCCGTAATGAGCTCCCCGGGGCCTCATTTCCTCCCTGGACCCGGGGCCGGCCCCATGGCTCCAGGAGGCAGAGAGCAATTAGTCCCAAACACCCACCAGCCACAGCCCTGGGACACGAGGGCTGGGACAGCGGCCTCCCGGCCCCCGGAGCCTCCAGCCAGGCCCGGGGCCCCAGCCTGTGCAGGAGAACCTCTGGCCGGAGACAAACACAGGTCTGCACGGCCACAGGCCACACATCGACGACAGGCTGCCTGCAGGTGCAGGGCCCCTTTCCCTGCCTGAGAGGAGCCGCCCAGGGCAGGAGCAGGCCGGGGCCCCTCCCTGCCGAAGGTCACACCCCCCTCCCCAGGTGGGGACACACAGCAGTCCCCACCGGAGGCCCCAGGATGCCCACGGCAGCAAGGACAGCTGTGGGGCTGCCGGCCAGGAGCAGGGCCCAGCTGGGCGGGAAGTGCGAGGCCAGCACTACAGGAATCCCGGGAGCCATCTCCGTCCCCGGACTAGTCCTGACCGAGCGGAGGGTGGGGCTCAGAGGCGGGGGACCTTGTCCAGGGATCAGAAAAGGTGGTGGGAGCCCCGAGGACAGCGCTCCCCGTGAGAACAGTGCAGGGCCCAGCCCTCTCCAGGCCGAGAGGCCCGCATGTGGCTCTCCGGCGCCCCCAGAGCACCCATGTCTGTGGGCTGAGCAGTGGCCTTTGCAAGGGCCTTACAGCCCGAAGCCACCCTCCACCCCCACAGGACCACCGGGGACCAGGCTCCGGGGGTGCCCGCCCTGGGGCGGCTGTGGGGAGTCACACTCCATTCGGAAGACATGACAGCAGGGCCCCACCGGTCCCAGCCTCAGCTGAAGGCACAGGTCCCTCCGATGGCTGATGAGAACAAACTCACTCTGCTCCAGGTTGTATGGGTAACAATTCCCAGGTAAGCAGGATATGAATGGCCCGAACACTGGTAATGCAGCCACTGCTCACAGCGCACCACACCAGGCCTCCTCTCACCCTCACGTCTCCCTGGGGTGGGGGAGCCGCCCGATAACCGACTTTCCATAAAGCCAGATGGCGAGCCTGAGGCTGGCACCTGAGCCTGTAAGGCTGAGATGTCCGGTGCTCTTTCGCCCCTCCAGGAAGAGCAGAAAGGGCAGGGATGAGGAAGGGGCAGTGACTTGTAACTGGCTGGCATGGAACCCGGGGATGCAACCCCTGTGGATAATTCTTTAGAGAGCACAAGCCCGCCCTCTGCTCCAGCTCCCAGGCCTCCCTAAGAACTGCACTGCCGACTGCTGCCACCAGAGGGCGAAGGGTAAGGCCCAGCGCCCGTGTTTTCCAACCCAAACCCTTGGGGGACGCGGGTCCAGAACATCAGCCGCGCCTCATGGATCACTCACTCCCCCTGAACCGGGGAGTGACTGAGGCCAGAGGAGGTCACGGCTGGGCGTATCTCACAGCAGGTTCTGGCAGGGGTCTCCTGAGCCCCAGGGAGCGGGCTCTCCCCACCGCACATGGTTCCGGCAGCTTCCACATTTCGCAGGTACAAATGTTCAGCCAAACGGCCCAGGGCCACTGCGGGCCCCGCCGTGGGGAGGAAACACGGGAATCCCTGAGGAGCGGGTTCCCAGCCGCTGCCCAGGGACCGTGGGCTGGCGGTGAGGGGAAGGCGTCTGACAGCCCGCCCGCGCTGGAGAGCCCGGCTGCACCTCCCGCTGCAGATCCCTGAGGCCCAGGCTGGCTCCCTCTGCCCCGCGCCCCTCCTCCCCACCCCCCAGCCTCACCTTCTGCCACAGCGACTCTCGGGAGGCCAGCGACGAGCAGGCTGCCACGAACCAGCAGTTGCCCACCTGGCCCTGGTGCAGGTCATGAGAGCTGATGCCGTCCACGAAGAGGCGGGGGTCCTCGCAGATCTCCTGGGGAAGCGAGAGGAGGCCTCGGTGTTAGTGTAAGATTCGCCGGTCTCCCCCTGCAGGCTGCCCCCGCCTTCCCCCGCAGGGCCAGTGGGTTTCCCCACACCAGCTTCCCCCGTGCTCCCTGGAGGGCCCTTCCCTTCCCCCAGTGCTCCCTGGAGGGCCCTCCCCCTTCCCCCAGTGCTCCCTGGAGGGCCCTCCCCCCCCTTCCCCAGTGCTCCCTGGAGGGCCCTCCCCCTTCCCCCAGTGCTCCCTGGAGGGCCCTCCCCCTTCCCCTAGTGCTCCCTGGAGGGCCCTCCCCCTTCCCCCAGTGCTCCCTGGAGGGCCCTCCCCCTTCCCCTAGTGCTCCCTGGAGGGCCCTCCCCCTTCCCCCAGTGCTCCCTGGAGGGCCCTCCCCTTCCCCCAGTGCTCCCTGGAGGGCCCTCCCCCCCCTTCCCCCAGTGCTCCCTGGAGGGCCCTCCCCCTTCCCCCAGTGCTCCCTGGAGGGCCCTCCCCCCCTTCCCCAGTGCTCCCTGGAGGGCCCTCCCCCTTCCCCTGGCGGAAGAACTCTGTTCGCTGCCAAAGGCGGTGAATGGATTCCGTGGAAGGGCTGCGGGGTCCGGACCCTGGGCCACCCCCTTCCTCCTGCCCCTGTCTTCCCTGACCAGCACGTCCTCCTCCAGCACCGGCAGCCCCCACGTGCCCTCAGCCATGAAGCCGGGCGAGGGCACGAGAGGAACACACCCAGAGCACACGTGATGAGTGCAGAGGGCGGGGGCAGCAGGGGCTGACGTGAGGCAGCATGCCCCCTGTGGACACAGCCTCGGGCTGTTTAGTCTGACCCTCCCTCCCTCCCTCCCTCTGCCTCAGAAGTGTGACATCAGCCAAACCAGGTTTGGCTCAGTGGATAGAGCCTCAGCCTGCGGACTGAAGGGTCCCGGGTTCGATTTCAGGCAAGGGCATGTACCTTGGTTGCGAGCACATCCCCAGTAGGGGACATGCAAGAGGCAGCTGACCAATTTTTCTCGCTCATCAATGTTTCTAACTCTGTATCTTTCTCCCTTCCTCTCTGTAAAAAATCAATAAAATATGTTTAAAACACACACACACACACACACACACACATATATATATATATAAAAAGAAGTGTGACATCATCATCCCATTTAAGATGAGGAATGAAGGCTCAGAGAGGGGCAGCGACTGGTCAAGGCCACACAGCAAGCAAAGGCCGAACTGAGCTGAGCAGACTCCCACAGCACTCCCAGAGCCCACCTCAGCCCTCCCCCCCACCCCCCGCCCTCACCCATCAGCATCTTCACCCCCACCTGCTCCCCAAGGACGGCCGGCCACAGCGGGTGGTGGGAGGGAGGGAAACACTAGGACAGACCTTCCCCGTGCCAGGCACGCTGCTGGCACTGTAATCAGTCCTCCCGTCATCCTTAGAGGCGGGACGGTGCTCATTTTACAGATGAGCACACGGCGGCCCAGGAAGTGGGACGATGCCCACCACAGCATGGGCCTGCCTCCACGTCGCAGGTGAACTCCGGAGCTAGCTCAGCCACCACAGAGCTACTCAGGTCCTACCGAAGTCAGCCAGCAGAGGGTTCCAGAGCCCAGAAGTCCAGAATTCAAATTCTTGCTCCCCTTATTTACCATTGGCTGTGCAACTCTGGGCCAGTGGCTCAACCTCTCTGAGCCACTGTTTCCTGCCCTGTGCAAAGGAGGTGTGGGAAATGGGGCAAGGGCTGTCCCACTAAGGTGTTGGGGAGCCCTGTTGCCACCTCTGCCTGGGAAGAGGGGTGCTTTGCAGGGCCAGATGGAGGGCCAGGACTCCTGAGGATGTGAGTGGCTCCAGACGGGGCCGCGGAGTGGCCAGTTCAGGGGCCAGCTGCACAGTCGCAGGAACCCAGCGAGGCAGCACCCGGAAGTCTCACCTCCCTTCCCACTGCCTCCTTATCTTCCCTCCCAGGCAGCACTCCGAGCCGGCTCCCTGGACCCAGAAGGGCCAGCAGGACGGGGTGGAGGGGACTTCCTGTCTGGATGGCCGCAGCCGCAGCCGCAGCCACAGCCACAGCCCACACGGGAAGAGACAGCCGCAGCCTGGCGTCTCCAGGCCTGCAGCAGACCAACTTCCCAGGCGCTCCTCCACTCCTCCGTCAGATCCTCGGCCAGAGCCCCGGACAGAGACTGCCCATCCCACAGCGGGGACACCGAGCCCAGGAGGGGGCGACGGTGCTCAAGTCACCAGCCAAGTAAGCGGACACAGGTCTGCGGGCTCCCACCCAGAACTCTGCTCCCCACAGCAACAGACGGTCTCAGCCTGGCCCTTCCTTCCCCCCAACTCCCCCCCCACCCCGCAACAGGGCTCTGGCTCCAGACTTTTGGGGGG